TTCCTCTTATGTGAACTCCCTTCATTTACCCTCACTTAATGTGCCCTCTTCAATAAAAAAGGAGTGAGACTAAAATCATTCTCACCATAGCAAATAAGAATAGCACTCAAAATTTCTCTTTTGTGGTTTTAGAAACCCTCATTTTTGCATAATACATTGAAGAGGTTGAAAAAAGGAAGAACAAAGATGGTCTTACCTTTAGTGTGACATCACAGAGTTCTCCATTTTCATAAAATCGAAGTAAAGAACCATGAAAATCCTTCCAAGCTTCATTTGCTTCAAAGATAAAGGAGTCATCTCCATCACCATCACTAAGGGAAGATCTGTTCTTTATTTGCTGGTGCTGCTGCCGTTTCCCCTTTGTGAAGTGATTTCTAGCTTGTTTTGCACTCACAGGTTCCGAAGCCATTTGAGATACTCTCCTGTTAATATAGCTCTCTTTTCAAACATCCCATTTATTCTTTTCTTAAAGGGGAGAGAAGGCAGAAGGTAGATGCAGCCCACTAAACTTCAGACACGTTTCCAAATCCATTCAACTGCTATTTCCAGTTTGTTGAGACTGAAAAGCAACAATAAAATATACATAAGACCAAATCAAAGAAATAAAAACTATCATTAGTAATTATAATTTACTAGTACTATATATGTAAAATAACCTAATAACCATTTCTAAAATAAAAGGAAGAAAAAAACAAGTAACTTTCTAGCTTTTATTGTAAATGTCACAGAATTCACCTCAGTGCTTTATTTTGTATCAGTGAATTCATCACAATGTGTAACAATTCTATATGTATATGTACCTAATAACAGTTTCAAAAGACTTTAATAAAGCAAAAATGGAGAAAACTAAAAGGAAAAATAGACAAATCCACAATTACAGTTAAGAGACTTCAACATTCTTCTCTCAGTAACAGACAGATCTAGTTGACGGAGAATAAACGATGATATAAAAGAAAAGATCATCAACCAACTGGATCTAATGGACTCCAGGGCTTCAAACCGGAATCAGATGGAAAACAAAAAACAAAAAAACCCCGAAATTTTTGCCGGAGTGAAACCAAAACACAAATGGAAAAAAATTTTTTTTC